GTTCATATAGAAACACAAGAAAGACCAAACAGCCAAAGTGGGATTTGTGTAGACACAAAAGATAGACCAAGCAACCAAACTGTGGTTCATATAGAAATCATTTTAGTTTAATAAGCCCTAAAACTAAGCTGTACGGAGCATATCTATATCTATATATATCACAGATAATTAAAAGTCAAAGCCGTGAGGTATTTTCAGAATTTTAATGATATTTTGGTGTTGTTGCATGTATATCTGTCACACTACTGTTGTAGAATGTTTTTTTACAACTTATATTTAAAAAAACGTTTTAGCACTTTTAGCACCTACACGTATCACAGATAGCGGAACATCATGTTTGGGAATTGTTTTAGTTACATGTTCTTTCTTGTGTGCCTATATGAACAAAGGTTTGGCTGTTTGGTCTTTCTTGTGTGTCTATATGAACAAAGGTTTGGCTGTTTGGTCTTTCTTGTGTGTCGATATGAACAACAGTTTGGCTGTTTGGTCTTTCTTGTGTTATTCTTAAGTTGTTTAATATTTTTAGTTCTTCAATGTTTTACTATGGATTAATAATAAGTCACAGTTACAGAGTGTTTATATGTTTATTTATCGAAACTCTTATTCTTAAGTTGTTTAATATTTTTAGTTCTTCAATGTTTTACTATGGATTAATAATAAGTCACAGTTACAGAGTGTTTATATGTTTATTTATCGAAACTCATAGGCTACTAGCTAGACAACAGCTAGGAATGCTAGGATTTCACGCTCTCCCTTTTAGTCGGACGTGGCTAGTGGTTAATGTGTTTGTACTGTAAAACCGAGTGGTCAATATTTGCATCCCATTACTGTAAAAACACGCTCTGTACCTTGAGACTAGAATCCTTTATGAGTGACGGTCAGTTTCCATTATATGGTCAGGTAAGAGTAGTCCAAGAGTTGGCAGGTTGTGCTACTGGCTACCAGTCTTTCCGCTATTACATAAGCGTAAACATAAAAACGGCTAAATGCAGATAGCCTTTTATGTAGCTTTGTGCAAAAAAAACACAAAAAAAAATCAGTCTCTCTTATAGAGCACTCACGGTTCCAAAGTGCGGAGCGCGTTTTATGACATCCAAATAAATATGTGGATATGCAATGCTTACAGTACGGAACTCGAATACTTTAAGAAAATACTTACATCAAAGCTTATTACCTTGAAAACAATAAAATTCTGGTGCTTAGCAGCCTCAGGATATAAAAAAGAAGTCCCACAAAAACGAAATGTTTTAAATTGAAATTGTTTCTACTTTTTCTCTAAAAAAATGAAAGTTTAGTTGGAGCTCAAATTACGGAGAAAAGCTAAGGATAGGAACGAAACTTCTTCAACAACAAACAAGGATTTTTCTCTGTTTGTTCTTTGCTCTAAAGATTACATGTTGAAAAAAGCTGGCTGGACCTGTAAGCTTACGATGAAAAAAACTGTGCTGATCCTTTGATATTCCCTTTGAAATATTAAGAATGGCTATACCCAGGTAGCCGTTGTTGAGCTTGGTGGGAAAGTCTACATACAGCAAACAGGCGATCTGGCCAATTAAAAAGTTACCAGTTGATTAGTGTCGGTTTGGATAATAAAAACAACTCTACTTATACATAGATAACCGAGTGAGCTCAGCATTAAAATCAATGGCTATTTTTGTAATATTTACTATAATCTTGTATCAATCTAGTTTTTCTAGTTCAAATATCACGACCATACTCAGATATGTTGTACGCGATAAAGAATGAGCCTGCGAATAAAGGGATAAATTTGCCTTCTAACAGAGGACTTATAACTACATCTATAGACATTATGTTTTGTTTTAAGTAAATTACTTTCTGTAGTTAACGTTGTTGCAGCTACAGCAATATCGCTTCATCTGTTAGAACTTGCTCATTGTCATCCACGCAACAAACAGCAAAATCTAGAACTACGAACCAAGTAAAAAACCCCGAAACAAAGGATCGCGAATTATCCAATCCAGAGCCACGAATCTTACCTAGTAAAGGAACTGAGAAGAAAAATGATGTGTTATACGGTTGAAAATTACAATCTAAGTAAAGAAACTGAAATGGGGATATTTGTTTCAGAGCTATGAATTGAGTAAAGAAAATGGAGGATTACGAGCTATCGGATCCAGATTTATGAATTAAAAAAGAAAGTAAAATAGAGGAATCCAAGTAATCTGGAATAACGTTAATAACCTGATTCAAAACGACGAATGAAGTGAATAAAAATGAAGCAAAAGATGGTTGATTTTATGATCTAGATGGATGAAACCAAACAGAGAAAGTGTAAAACAGAATCAAGAGTTTTTCTGACTCAGAGCAATAAACCAAAACAAAGTGAGTGAAAGAGAGGATCAAATTTTTTCTAATCCAAAGCGAAATGGGGATCATGAATTCTTTTGTATCAGTAGATTATGAATAATTTTGTTGAAAGGAGTTTCAAAGTTTTTAGAAGGAAATAAAAGTTTACCCAAAGAAACTGATTGTATAAAAAATTATGATGTTATTCGCGTGACTAAAGAACAATCTTCTAATTAAAAAAAAAACAAACAAGTAAAGCGTTTCTTTGTGTGAAAATTCATTCAATGCTATACAAGGAAAGGTAGATAGTAAACAGCACCCACCACCAACCAACTCTTGGGTTATTGGTAGATAGATAGTAAATAGTA